ATGTGTTTGTGAAGTGGATTTCTTTAAAAAAGAAAAAGAGACTATAGGCATAAAAAAGGCCACATATATGTTTGGTTAGAATTCACTCATTATTAAGAGTAAAGTTGGTGATTAGTATGAGTGCATAAAAAATTGTGTTATATCGATTTTCTTTGCGTATAGCATTTCATGCTGCATGCACATTTGGACATTAGAGATTGTAACTTTGTAGAACCAGAGCTGTTCTGTCTTGACCACCACCTGGATTGAAGCCCATAAAGAGAAAGGCTGAGAGGCTGGTTGGAATAAAAGTTACTGGTTGCCTTTAGGGGTCTGAGATGATGAGATCTGGAAGGAACCTAAAGCCCTCTAGATGATGAGATCCGAAAGGAACCTAAAGCCCCTCTATAAGCAGTCCCAACATAAAGCCAGAATAAAACGGTTTGATTCTTTGAACCATTTCATAAACTTTTTTTTTTCAAAAGTAGTAATGTTGATACAGTTGAAATGGCATCCTGGTGCATACAACAGATACATCCCACCAATATCCATTCCACAATATCACATCATAGCTGTGGGTGAGGGGATCCTTCTGAAATCTCAGCTGAGACATCACCCTGCAAGCTTGCTCTCCTGTTCAGGAGCATTTGATCTTGCTTTTTATGCATTTGCAGGAAATGTTTCAGATGTACCCCTCCATAAGCTGTATACAACCCCACAAAGTCCTACTATGTGGGTTCAGTAAATATCTACCAGTAAATGAGTTTGAAGGGGTCAGGGGAAGACAGCTTGAATTCAATTGCTGTGGCCCCTCAATAACCTGATGGTTCTTTAATGTATCCCCATTAAGTGTATTGTGACCCTAGACTTTGTCAGAAAGAAGAGCAGAGCAGAGGTGGTGACTATGAGGAGGACCCGACTGTGAGATGCTGAGCTGCGTCCCAGCTCTGCAAGTAGAGGATTTCATTTGTCTTTGGGGGTTGGATTATGTGTACCTTTCAGAAAGTTTGTTTTTAAGGGCTGATGGTATTGTGACACTAAACAGTTCATTCCTACGAATGCCACCCCCTCTCCTTGAGCATATGGTAAGCGCTAAAAATGATTACTGAATAAATGTATAATGTCTTCTGGAATTTTTAAAATGCATACATTGGCCCCATTTTATTCTCATGATATAAACATTGAGGCTTTTCTATTTGGGATAACGGATTCTTCTAAACCTACGATCCTTTCTTATTCAGTTACCGTTCCTAACTGGTTTAGGGTGACGCCCTCTCAAACCCTTTTCAGAGAGTGTGTGGACTGGGTATTTGGAAGCAGGGCCACACAAGCTGTTCTCATCATTCCATTCCTCTTGCAGTTTACAGCTTCATCTGTTTTTCTTTTTTCAATCTAAGATGCTCATGCTTCTTTATTTGTGGTTAATTGTGTCCAATTAAGTTTTTTTTTTTTGTTTTTTTTTTCTTGCTCTACCAGATTCTCGGAATTGTCCCAAGTTTGAGGGGAAAAAAAATTGGTTAGTCCCATTTCTTCTGGTGCCTCCTGAGCCCTGCGCTTGAGTACAATGAGGTCACTTTGTTGAAGGATTAACTTTATATTACATTCTTGCAGAGTAGATGTATGTCCCTAAGGTATGACTACCCCCACTGATGAAATAAATATACCATTCTTTATGATTCCTCCCTGTTACTCTCTCTGTTGATTTTCAGAGAGTTTATGAATAGTCACATATTTATACAACTGGCCAAAAGTATACTACTTATTTTTCTTGTGGTCTGTAATAACCTATGCAAGGTTATTAAAGGGTATACAGACCCCTTTTAATGCATAGTTTCTTATGTCATTACTTTATACAAGCAGGTCAGATTCCATCTCAGCAACAATCTCTTGCTCTTAACCTTTTTCTCTGATTATAAAAGTAATACATGTTCATTGTGGAAAATTTAGAAAATTCACAGCAAAAAGAGCAGGAAGAAAAGCACTTTAAGACCCACTACTTAGAAACAACTACTATTTGGCAGTTTATACAGACACATTTTCTTTATTCTATATATGCTTGTTTAAAAAAGTATATTGTATACGTGCTCCTGTAATCTACTTTTTAACCAAGCAATATATCAGTAAATATTTTTTCCTATGTCATTGCTTTTGAGGATTGCATCATATTCCATTCCATGAGGGTGTCTTAAATTAGCCATCCCTCACTTCCCAGATATTTAATATATTTTTTGTGGGGGCAATTAAAATAACAGTCTTTGTCAGATGGCTCCCCCGCACTCAGTAATTGGTTTAATTTTTTTCTCTAGTCAGTGCAATCAGATAAATCATCAGGTTCCTTTGGATCTAGGACAGTGAGCTTTGTCTAGCATCTTTAATGTTAGCTTTGTCTGCAGCCCTGGACAATTCCATTGTAATATTCAATACCTGTGTTGAGGGCCGGTTAACTTGTTTAAAACTATGAACAGACAGCAAATCATAAAGGCATGGGACATAAGTTAAAAACCCTTGCCTTACTCTTTAAATATTTCCTCTCTCATAGTACACGTCCATGGAGTAAATCCTTATTTGTCTTTGAATAATGAGTTTAATATGTCTAATTCAATTACTCTGTGACAGCAGAATGACTTCTCCTCAGCTCTTTAGCTATTAGTTCCATATGATATTTGAATTGGTTCTTTTAATTGCTGATATTGTCGGTCATTCCTCTGTGAGTTGGCCATATAGCCGGAGAAACATATCCCTCCCCGCCATACATCAGACAGTCATTCAGCTAACAACCATGAATTTCTAGACACAATAGGAATTCATTATGCTAATGATTGAAGAGGTGGGGCAACAATTCCAATTTTATTGGTAACTTAGACTGAAAAGTAAAACCAAGAATTAGAATTTTCAGGATGCTGAATTATGTTTTCAGATACTAAAATGATGCATTTAATTGTCTAAAGCTACTATTTATGGTTAAACATTTTTGTTGGCAAGTAGCATTATGGGTGGGGGGTGGATATGATAAATAACCCTTGGTGCTGATTCCTGTCTCTCTCATGCATTTCTTGATTAAATACCGTGGATTTTACAAGTAACAGCTTCCCTGAATAAAGAATTCTATGGCATTTCTCTACAAGTCTAATTTGAAAAAAGAATTCTTCTCAAGGGTTTAGAAATTCATAAAATGGAAAGAATAATAAATATTGTGTCCTAACTCATATACTAGTATAGATAGAAAGATTTGGTACACCTGGGTGTAATTTTAGTTAATTTCCACAAGAGACAGGTTGAAAGTTTACTGTTTGGAAATGGGGGGGAGGGTTGACTAAATCTCATATTTGCAAAAATGATTACATTATCTTAAATGAAAATGCCACTCTATTAATGACTTCAATAAGCATTGCATTTGGGGAAAAAATCTTTTTAATAAAAAGTTACCTAAAGTTCATCTAACTTAAAATATACAAGTGAAGAAAAAGTACTTACTCTGATTTATGTGCTTTTGGAGGTGTAATTATTGGCTTTTTACTCACCTATGTAAAACAATGTACTTTTGTAAATGGATTTCTGGCCACTTTATGCAGCCTTTTTTTTCTTTCTTTTTTTCCTTACATAAAAAGTAAGCACTGTCAATCAAGGAATTTTAAGGTTTATTTCCTCTTTAGAAATGATTGATAGCCTTTTAGATTTACAAGTTGACAAGTTAAAGGGTTCTATTGGTATAATTATGTACTAAATTCACAGTCTTTCAATTTAAATGTCCTTTTAAAACCACAAGATTATCATACCTGTATTTTGAAAAGTGGGCCAGTCAGTTTGGGTTGGTATACAAATTGCTTCCATTAGCCTTGGGACCTATTTGAATTTAATACAGTTTTTTTAAAGTTAGTACTAGTATGAATCTTACTTTTAAAATTTAGGTTAATGGAAATGCATTTTAAGGAAAGCATGTGGCAACTTGTTTTTTAATGTATAGCTAAATGTCAGAACTACACAGACTGTCTTTTTTATTCAGCATGTGAGAAAATATGTGGTTGAACACTTTGATTACACTAAAAAAGAAAAGAAATTTTAAAAACACCCACTTACCCCTTTCTTAGAGAATATAGGGAGGTGGAGGCTATGGATAGGAGCTGCCATGTTTTGCATCTCCACTATTTCACGTGAGACAGCCTGAAGATATTTCATATACCAGGGAGAAATTTTGAAAATGATAGACCAGAGTCCACTTAATATTGTGTTTAATTTAAGCATGCTTTGAAGAGTGTGTGGTCAGTGTGCACACAGCAAGGTCCATGGTCTCCAAATGTTATTCCAGATTTGCTCTTCTTTTGGTCTTTTCAAGGATTATTTTTGGAGACTCGGCTGCTCTAAGCTAGTACTTCAGACGCTGGTTCCAAATAATATCAATGTTGGTGAAAGGATCTATCATTTCAGATGTGAGGGTTTTGAATCAGGGCATTTTCAATACCCATCCCCTTTGCAGACTCTCTCAAGGGTGGCACCGGCTTTCCATACCTGGAAGATTCACTTCTATTCACTCTCCTCTGCTCTCACCAGCCTCTTGCATGCTTAATTGTGCTAAGATATTGTATCAGCTGAGGTCCGCTAGGGATTTTGCAGTTAAGCAGATACTTTTAATTCTCCTGCTGTTTACAGGATATAGATACTGCCAGGCAAGCCCTTGAGTGTTTTTAACTGAGCAACTGAATTCAAGTGAATCCTAAAAATCTCACATCAAATACCATTTTACTTTCTATTTATGATCACATAAGGAGTGTAGAATTTGGCCAAAGGAACACTGTTCAAGACCTACTCCTAATGTTCTTTTGGCCAGGTCACTCCCCATCGTGGTATAAAGCAGATGGTGGAAATTTCAGCAAAGAGATCACTCACGTAATCATCTTCTGATCCAGTTCAAAAGTATCAATTAAACTTTGGACTTCCTGGTTATTTCCATACCATTAGTGTTGCAAGCCATGTTCTGCTTTATTTCTTGAAAATGTACTAATCGTGTGACTTCTTTATTGCAGCGCTCAACGAACCCACCATCGATTATGGTTTCCAGAGGTTACAGAAGGTCATTCCTCGGCACCCTGGTGACCCTGAGCGTTTGCCAAAGGTGAGGATACTGCCTTTTTGTAGTCTCTGAAAATTTGGACTTGAGTGATTTGCAGAAAACTCTGCTGCTGATAAAAATTAGTTCATAGGTAAACAACTCATATTTTTGTGTTTTGTGTGTTTGGTGCTATAAAGTAAGCAATAATAAAAGTAGCAAGCACTTATGTGCCAGGCAACACCGTGCTTACTTTTGTATCTGCTATGCCATTTTATCTTCTCAACAACGCTCTGATGTTGGTAGTATTACCATTCCTATATTAGAAGAGAAAATAATGAAGCAAAGAGAGATTAAATAATAATTTGCCCAAGGTCACATAGCATGTAAATTGCTAAACTGATATTCCAACCTATGCAGCATGACCCTAGAGTCTGAGCTACTTAATTGCTACATCTTACCAATTCTCAAAAGAAAAAGGAACACCAGATTTCTGTCTATGAGGATCCGTACTTAGTCCTGGCAAGAGGAGAATAGTTAGAGCTCCAAATGTATTGGTAGATCCTGAGACTGGGCAAAGACAACCTCTCTTCTCCTAAGGCATTCTACCTAGTTGGGAAAATAGGCACAAATATGAGAGACATTAAACAGAAATTCAAGACAGAGTCATATATGTCACCAATACATCAGTAACTGCCAGTGCAGACAGAAGGAAACTGACCTTTATTGACTATTGCATACCTGTTGTGAATGTTTGGGATGTCCCCATCCCTGTACCTCAGGAACTTGGGTTGTATGTGGGAGAGAGTCCCAAACACAACTAATCATAACCAAAAATAATAGCACATTAAAGAAAAGTGCAACCAACATTCTGTGAGGACTCAAAAGCAGGCAGTTAAATGTGAAGGAAGCTCAAAGTACAGAATTCATTGAGCTTCCATTCACTGTTTACTGACAGCAAAAAGCTTCATTTACCACACAGGTAAAAACTATTAGCATTAAATTGAATTAGTTTCAAGGACTCTTTCTTGCCACAGTAAATCTAGAGATATGCCATTTCCAGGTCTAGGTATCCTTGTAAAACACTTGTGAAAATGAAGTTGCCATCCTTCTTAGCTCGGTGAACCTCCTTGGGGGACCAGTTCGTCATCAAATCCTACCTGTGTGCTGGCTGCCCTTGTAGGCAGGGCCACCTGTCAGAACTGGCCCTGTACGGGAGAAACCCACCCCTCAGGTCACTACACAGATGTGAGGCGCATGGGGAGGAGGGGTGCTAACTGCTCCAAGAGAGGAAGGACTGTGATGAGCAAGGGCATGTGTCCTGCATCTTAACTGAGGGGGGAAAACACCTTCAGTTTTCAGAGATGATGCCTTCAGTTTCAACCTTCAATTTCCCAGAACAACCTCACTTCCACTAAAGTGCTGTCCTTCCCTTTCCTTTTCCAACCCAATTTATTCTTGATAAGCAATTACATCATCTACAGGTTGTTTATTATTTAGTAGATTAAATAATATAATAATAAACAGCAGTCTCCACCCATGGCATAGATGGTCTATGGAGAGATTTACCATTAGGTTCCTCTGTCTAGCCCCATGGCATAGATGGTCTATGGAGAGATTTACCATTAGGTTCCTCTATCTAGCAAGAACATGGTCCCATGAATTTCCTATGGGACAACTGGTAATTTTATAGCACGATGATATAAATGATGTGGGTCTGACTAATGGTAGGTGCCTTAGCTGTCTTAGTGTTAGAACAAAGGCAGGGGTACCATGCCAGATTCTTCCCATTGTTCCCATTTGGGCACTATATTCACTTTAGCACTTGCTTTACCATTTGATCTCTTGAGTCCACTGGAGGTATTGAGGAGAGTCAGGTTGGACAAGGTGGAATTCAGACATTGGCCACTTTCTAGCTATGCAACCTAGGTCAAAATTTTTTACCTGTGCCTCAGTGTCTTCCTCTGTTAAATGGGGACGGTGCTATGTTGTACCTTTTCAAGTTACATTTCAATGACTTATTTAGAGCTAACAAAAGGTAGCTATGATGATTTGCCAGTTGAGTGACAATGGGACCCTTGCTTCTGAGAGCTCTTCCACCCAATCTCGGCAGAACAGGAAATCCTAATCCTGGTGAGCAGTTGAACATGTGATTTCTCCTCTGTGCCTCAGTTTCTTCATCGATAAAATGGGGATAATTAATCATGCTAGCTCATAGGGGATCATAGGATCATGTGAGGATAAAGAGAGGTCATCTCATGGGTGTCCTTGGCATAGCATCTGGCCCATAGTTGCCACTTTAAAAATACTTAGTGAGCTGTGGCTCATGCCAGTATTCCCAGCAATTTGGGAAGCAGAGGTGGGAGAATTGCTTGAGGCCAGGAATTCGATACTAGCCTGGGCACCATCACAAGACCCTACCTCTGCAAAATGAAAAAAGTTAGCCAGGTATGGTGGTGTGTGCATGTAGTCCCAGCTACTTGGGAGGCTGAGGTGGGAGGACTGCTTAAGCCTAGGAGGTCAAGGCTGCAGTGAGACATACCCACCACTGCACTCCAGCCTGGGTAACAGAACTAGAAGACAAATCTGGTTTAATGGTTGAGGTCTACAGAAACCAGACAGTCCTTTTTCTGATTAGAAAGGAAAGGAGAGAAATGGAATCTAGGGTTGAGTGCGTACTTACTTTTGAAAACACTTTTATGGTTGCATGTTATGTTCAGGAATGTTGAACAAATAGCATAGGCACGTGTCACTTTGTCCCTGATGGTAAAATTCCCAACCCTTGTTTCCTGGGTTTGGAAAGAGTAATCAAGGACACAATGGATTTGTGTGTTAAGGAAACACTCCACGGCTTGCATCTAGCCACTTGATCGTGCAAGGCCTGGCCGGAGCCCACCCCAGGAAGCTCTCAGTGTGACTCAGAGCCAAGTGGCTGTCCTCTTGGCTTTGAATGTTAAAGTGGAGAGAGTTCAAGGGCAGGGTCAGGAAGTGGCGGATGGAGCCAGCACAAGGTATTCCTGTGGACTGGGGAGATTTATACTCCTGCTGTCCATTGTTAGGGGCATAAAAATGGGCTGCGCCTTTCTTAGGATCATGGTCAGTGTTTGTCAAACAGGAGTGTTTTAGTGAGCTATGGACCACACACCTTAAAAAACAAACTCCTCTTTATTAAACCCATGTGTTTGTGAATAGACAAAGCTAGATTCATACAACCACCCACATATTCTGTCAAATGAAACTGCTCCAAAGACCAAGCAGACAGCTTTCCATAATAATATGCCTTTGTATACAGGCTTGTTCTTTTTCAAAAAAATTTGGACGTGCTTTGTTTTATTGGAGTCCCTCCTGCGAGAGAAGCTGGGGCAGCAGACATCTTTCCCATTTACCAAATAGGAAAACGGGAGCAGGCGGAATCCTGCTCTGTAAATTATTTTGTCCCTGAAAGTCACCATCAGTGATAGTTGCTGTACACACAAATTTAAAATACTGTAATTATGCTAACCCCAGATGTTTTTTGGTTTCCTTTTTCATATACACAGGGAGAAAAGGGCAGGCTAAGGTTTTTAAATCACAGCATTCTGTTCTGTTTCATACAGTTTCGCCTTTCTCTCTGGATCCTGGCAGGAAGGGGAGGAACATGTGACCAACTTTGGGGTCAAGGTTGACTCTTCTTGTAATTTAGAGGTGGAGGGGATGGGGAACGTGGTCGATCAGAAATTCTGAGATGCTGATGGCTGCAGTGATGCAATGCAGATACACTGAGCAAGGAGCGCTCTCTGTGTTCAAGGTCAGAGGTATCTCCGCCCCCTTGCAGTATGTTAGTTGCCTTCATGAGTGGTCAGTGAGCCTTAGCCCTAAGGCAGTGAGAGCACACCCTGAGTTTAACTGGCGTCAGGCGTGTCAGCTGTGAACCCTAGGAAGCAAGGAATGTTTACTTTATGCCTACTGTGAGCCCAGCACTGCATTATTAAGGTTTTCGAAGAGCACAGAGGCCAAGAGAGTGGGCTCTCAAGTCAGAAAGATGTGCGTTTTGGAAACGAGATCCACTACTTGGTGCACACGACTCAACCTCCCACGCTTCAGGTTTCTCCTCTGTAAAGCAGCTGCCTCACGGCGTTGTTGTTAGGTGTTAATGAGATAATTTATGCCAAGCGGCATCCCTGGCATCTAGTGAGACTCCAGTAAATGGGGGCCACTAATCCCCTCACCATGGGTGTTCCCCATTTTACAGATGAGGAGTTAGAGTGCCCAGAGGTCTGAATGACTTGCTACGACGTCACAGCTAGCAAGTGGGAAAACTACGATTCAAACTCAGGCCCTCAGGGTCGGTAGCCTCACTGTCTTCACTATGTTGAGTTCCCAGTTCTCCTGCAGATATGAAGACCCCAATAATTCTGCCTTGAGGTGTCTCCTCTGCAGACACCTGGCCCCCAACCTTATGCAGATTCTCACCAGCTTTCTCTCATTTCCCTACTGAGAAGGCTTGGCCTGGGGACCTTCTCAGGGCAAATGAGTCTTTTCTCCAAGAGCCAGCCCCTCTTTTAGAGAAAATAAAGCAGTTTGGGAAAAGTAACAAAGGCTGCATTTGTGTATTTTGCTTTATGGAGCTGAAAATATCTGGTAAATTGATCCAGTGGGAGTAATAAATACACATTACTTTATCTTGTTCTTCATGTCCTATACCCCTGAGCCTTGATAGAACAACACCACTTAATAGACTTAAAAAAGAGTAATTACACTCATTGGTTGTGTGATTTTTCAGCCCTCCCAGCCCTGCCTGACCTTCTAATTTAGCTCACCGTGTCTAACTAATGCATTTATATTCATCTTTTATGAAGCATGTATAGTACAGAATTGACTTCAGAGCCTTTTTCAAGCTGTCCTCCCAGGTCCCCAATCTGGTTAGTAGTAAGGAGAATGGGAGTCATCCATCTCTATACGTCTGCATGTATAGATAACACGTAGACATAGCTCAAAGCATTTTTTATCCTTTATGAAACATAATAAAAAGTATTTATTACATTTTTACTTTAAAGCTTTTATACATTCTAGCATTATTTACAGCT